TGATCCCAACCAGAAAATCCACTTTTCATATTAATGTAAATTAGAACTGACCTTGTCGACCTGAATTTTTTAGTTCATTTACTGGTAGACGGAAAGGGTTTCGCTAATTTGGCTACTTTCCAAATCGATTATTCCGAAATAAATAAAGCTTCCGTCCACGGTACGCTAATTTCTAGCCACCTCAACTGTGTACAAACACTGTTTTTATAATTTTCAGGGAAAAAATACAGGAGTCACTAAAAGTTAATTAAGGAACACCGAGTTTCTCGGCGGATGACGGTTTTGTACGATCATTTTAATTATAAAAGCAAAAGTTCTTTAAAGCCCTTATCTAATAACTCATACTTGAGCAACCTCATTCATCAAGCCTACGTTTCGCGCATTTAAAACGGAGAAGGAATTAAATCCATTTAGGCAAAGTATAAATAACAATCAATTAAATGTTTTCAACTTAATAAGTATGGCGACATTTCAATGCAAATGCATTCCAAAGGATGATTAATTAGATACGGATAATGTTTCATCGTCAAACATTTATCAAAGTCGCCGAGCATCTCGGGGTTTTGTATTCATAAATCAACCCTAAGGGATAATTCCATGCTTGCACTAGACCAACGACGTTTTGTTCCGATATTGACTTCTATTTTTCTTTCCGTCTTTATGAAAGGACGAATTAAAAGCGTCATAGGAAGGAGGCATTGTTTTCCTTCCTGTAAACACTAAAGCGTAATCGGGAACGTTTTTCTCATTTCCTTTTAATTTTGGGATTATACAAATATTTAATATTGAGTAACTTTTATTAGAGTAAAGACAAGTTTTTTACTATAGTGGGGCGATGTCAAGAAGGAAAAAAACTCCATTAAGTTAGACAAATAATTCATTTCAATTGACTTCGCGTTTTATTTTCGCGGTTTGTTGAAAAATGAGATAAAGAAAGTTGGGTAATTAGATTTCTGATATGACAAATTACACTAGTGGCGTTTTGTAGAAGTCCTACGCTTAATAACTGTCTATTTATTAGACTATACAGTACGGCGCAACGAAAAGCTCCGATGTAACATTATTTTCATGTAGGTTTTTAGGGGTATTTGCTTCAACTCACAGACGTTCAGTAACATGAAGTATTTTTGTTCTTCAGTTAAAGTTAGCAACAATTTCGGACCAGTGGTCAATTATTTCTAAAGAACAACTTCACGTAATAATCGTTAATGCATATAGAAAACGGCCATTGGTGAGCGCATGAGTTTATATTGCAACCTTTTTTGGCTGTTTATTAATAGTTAGCAACAAATTCATTATTCATACATGCATATAAATTAACATGTAAAAAGTGAAAAAAATTATTTAAGCCAATTGATCGTATATAAATTCCTAAACAAAACTGTTTGGTAGAATGGAGGGGTGAGTGATTTGAATGTATATTTTTACGTAAAAATGCTTACCTACATCCCAAAATTTGAAACTGAAACCTATTACTTGTGACATGAAAATGATTTTCGTTGACACACAAGAAACACATTTGGTTAATACTGTAACATAAATTTAATTACGCGATTTATGTATTTACAAGTAACTACAATAAATTTATAAGTCTTAAAATGGATTAATTTATATCAGTAATTATTATTTATCACCCAAAATGTATAACATAATACACTAGGCAGGGACTTAATAATTCACTTCGCATCGATGCTAAAAGTCGCTCGAAACACAATTCGATTTGCAAACAACACGAGTGCTCCCGAACGCTTCCGAATGTTCTAGACCACACACACGTCATATTTCTCGGAAAAATACGTCACATTCGCCTTAGTTTCTTAACACCGATGACTAATCTGTAATGGCGTCTAAATGTCTATCGGGATTTTTGGAATATTTGCTACCATACGTTTACAATTAATTTTGATATTTTATGTATCAAATTCGTTTAACACTTACAAAACTATATATAATTACAAAAATTTATATATCATAATACAGGGTGTAAAGCGATGGGGTATAAAAGAGGGATTTTTTTTAAAATATTGATTTATGAAAAAAATGTATCCTTCATGATATTTTTTGCTTGCTTTGAAAGTACCAATAACGTTTCGATAATCTAAAATTTATTTATAGAAATCTGGAAAAATAATAAAATTATAATTTTTTTATTGAAAGTTATTACATCATATCACATTATAATCAAGATAGCGTATTGCTATCAAACCACAAACAATCGAAACGTTATTGGTACTTTCAAAGCAAGTAAAAATATGAAGAATAAATTTTTTTCATAAATCAATATTTAAAAAAAATTCCCTCTTGTATACCCCATCGCTTTACACACTGTATAATCAAAACGTGCAACAATATTTTTGTTCGTTCAGAATGACCCCCACCCCACTACTGGAACGGTTTTGACGAGGGTTTTGAGTATTTTTGAAGTCTTTAAAGGAAAGCTCTCAAAAGTGTTATCCTGCGTAGCAATCTTAACTTAGACCTTAATCTTTAGGTTGAAAATTTTGCTTAACCTTGAAGTGTGCATAACTTCTTGTACCTATACATTCTTGTCTAATCCGTTGTATATAGGGTGGACCGAATTTAATCTGTGTACGTTTTACTTGTGTGAGTATTACAATTTACAAATGAACTGGTGCCGCGCTATGTTTGTGTTCCCGTCCCAGTAAGTGCTACATTTGTACTGTACTATAAAGTTCATATACATCAAACAGGCTAATGATTTGCCCCGCAAGGAAATTTACTTAATGTCAATACCTTGCATATAATACCTACACTATACTGTATTCATTTTAAGAAGGTAGCGGTAGAAAGCATAGGGAACTTTGACCTTCACTGTGATTGGATAAAACACGAGTCAGTATTACAATGAAACACAAAACGACTGGTAAATTTTGTAAGGTGGTAGTTTATGTTGCCAACTAAACTGCCGAAGTGTCATTAGTTCTTATTGTCAAAGATTTATTTCTGTTCGCAGTGCTGAATATTTCTACTTTACGATAATTTGGTGCCGTTTTATATTTTTCCTGTGTGTGTTTATCTTCAAACACAATCTACCTTCTTATAATGAATGCAGTATAGATGTGTACTTGTGACGTTTCATTTTTCGTGCGAACGGCATGTGCATTGTTTACTATCCCAGACTTCAGCGACGACAAATTATTTGATTTTACTATCGCACAATATACAGGGTGACCATTTGAAAACGAACCAGAGCCTATTTTGGGGACCTCAAAACATTTACGAAAAATTCTCGAACTCGTTAATTTTTGATTTAAGGGGGATCCATCTTTTTGCTAGTTTCGCCTCCCTGAGGGGGTGACAAGCGCCCCCAAAATTTTAAATCGAAGGTGGGGGGGGTCAAGTGAGACTTTATTTTGAAGGTATTTTTATGTGGATTATAACCCTTAAGTTTTAAATCAATTTTATTTTATATGCTTAAAGTAAATGTTGAAAATGCTACGCTTCGTTTCACTTTAGAAGGAGCACTGTCTTTACTTGGATGACCTAATACTCTAATAGTGACAAGGAAGTTGAATGAGTAAATTGTCGTTTATGTTTCTATATCTCTATATTTTAATGTCATTCAACTTCCTTATAACATCAATATATTCGAAACTAAAACGGTGGAGAACTTCATTAACCCTTCAGTGGTGACGCACGGTCTCTCAGACCGACGAAAAGTATTTTTCAAATTTTTTTAAAAAGCCGTTCTTTGACAATTAACCCTTTCGGTCTGTCAGACCGACGCGACGTCACCATTGGTGTACCTAAAAATTCAAGCTGCCACTGCACATTCTTTCAAACAGAAATCAAGAACAATTCAGAAATTTGGGTATATTTAGTGCCGTGAGTAATTGGCCGCTTTCCGGTGCATCGCCGCCATTGATACTACGAAAATTCTAGTTAGCGCAGAATTGCAACGCACATCCCCCCGTAAGCTTGGTATTGTGTATAATTCAATTTAGTTATGTTCAGTGGCGGTCCCAGGGGGGGCCCGTGGCCCCCTCCCCCTATTGTTAATTTTTTTCATCAGATTTATTTTATTTTTTTCCGTGTTGGGACAAAGTTCGGGTTTGGGCCCCTCCCTTTACCAAATCCTGGGACCGCTACTGTCAGTGGCGGTCCCAGGGGAGGGGGGGCGCCCCCCCATTGTTAATTTTTTTCATTAGATTTCTTTTATTTTGTTCCGTGTTGGGACAAAGTTCGGGTTTGGGCCCCTCCATTTACCAAATCCTAGGACCGCTACTGGTTATGTTACAAGAATAAAATTTATTTCATATGCCTTTGTTTATTTATTGACTGAACTTTTTCCTTTATTTTAAGCCAAGTTACATGCGTAGTAACTACGAAATCAAGCCAAAATCAAATTCGGTCTCTCAGACCGAGGTCACCACTGGTGTTCCAAAATTTCACGTCACCACTGCAGGGTTAAAAAGCAATTTGGTTGTTTTCTTTTTTTTTATTGATAACAGATCCTGTTTCTTCGAATTTAACGACCAAATCTTGAATAAAGGCGTGGCTTACATTCCCCAGGGATGTCTCATTAAACGTTGCTGTTTTAAAAGATGATCGATGTTCGGAGCCATAAATGAATATTATTTCCACACGTTCAGCTCAGCTCAGGTTGAAGTTCTTTTTTGTCATAAATCCCTCAATGTCCACATTTAGTTTTTTTTTGTAACTTATTAAATTTTTGTCTTAATGAATATTGACTTTATTGGTACCACTGGAAAGCATTTTTCAGTAGCTTTCCAACGATATGTCACAAGTATGGGGTTGTCATTTAGGATTTTTGAAGGGGGGGGACTTGGGCTTAAGGGAGGTGAGGGGTTGTCACTCATAACGTCATTGTGGTTCCCCCTCGAAACGGTTTTGCGCGATTTTCAATATCTTCTTTAGTTTGGAAAATATGGCCGACTGCAAGTTTTAAAATTGACACCCTGTATATGTAAAGTACAAATGTCCTACTTATACAAGACGACAACATCCGAGTTCCCTTCGTATAATTTCGATTTGTCATGCTTGTTTTGCAGGTTATGTTTATTTTTGTGAGGGTGCACGATACAAATAAAAATGAAATTTTCATACAAGGTAAAAATTTCAATAACTTCAAGTACCAAATGTAACTTTTATTTATGTTGCAGTTTAGTAATTTACTGGGTACAGTCTATCGCGAAGGTAACTTACTGTTCTCTTCTGATGGCAATTCGGTAATCAGCCCTGTTGGGAATCGGATCACCATTTACGATTTAAAAAAGTAAAGTGATTGCGCTTCATTCTACGACTGTTACCATTTTATTTGCAGTAACAAATCTTCCACACTACCTGTTGAAAGTCGTTACAATTACACAGCTTTGGACTTAAGCCCAAATGGTTGTACGTTAATCGCTATTAACGAGCAGGGCGAAGCACATATGATTAGTTTAATATCACAGACCATAGTACACAAATATAGATTTAAGCGAAAAGTAAACACAGTAAAGTTTAGTCCGGATGGGAAACACTTTGCCGTTTGCAAGGAAAATAATGGTTCTATTTAATTTGTATTTAATTCGTATTTGTAAATGGTATATTTGCAGTATTCATTTTTAAAGCTCCTGGGCCCTTCACAGGACAATATAACTCTTTTATAATGGAACGTGTGTTTCATGGAACATTTGACGAAACTACCTGTATAGATTGGTCTCATGACTCAAAAATGTTAGCAGTTGGCTCTAAAGATAAAAGTACAAAATTGTACCCATTGGATAAGTGAGTTACTTATTTTAGGTACATAATATTTAGTGTAAATAAACGTAAGCTGTGTTGCAGATGGAAGAATTTCAAAATGTATACTTTGGGTAGTCACACGGATGTTATTGTTGGTTGTTTCTTTGAGAAGGATAGTTTTGACATTACTACCATCAGTCGTAATGGTCAGACATGTATTTGGGAATGTTCCGTGGAAGCCAAAGATTTAGTGGCAGGTTCCGATCCCCCAAGTAAGAAACGAGTGAGTATTTTAATACGTAGATATTAACATAAGGATAGCCTACAGAAAACGCCCAAGTACGTTTTTTGTGACAATTCAACTCATGTATAAAAAATCGCATAAGCCGCAGTGAAATTGTCACTTTGACAGCGGCAAAAGTTACCTGCAACTTTTCCAGCGACAAATGCACTAGTGGTTTTTNTTAACCCTTTAAGGACTGACGAATTTCTTACGTGCTCAACCCCCAGACGGCGAAATATAGCGTGGCGTGTGGCCAGCTGACGGGTATATCCGACACTTATCTTTTTCATTCAGGATCAATTATTCTGCGTAAAAATTACAATAAATAAGCAATATAACACCACAATAATCATTTAGATTAATTTTTATTGCACAACCAATTCAAAACTTTGACATTGTATGATATGTAGCGAAACATGGCACCACACACAAACCAACATCGCAATCTTTGCACATGTATCTGGACTCCTTCCTTTTTTTCGGTGCAAGTTTCGTCTGCGAACATACTATACATCTCCTCAAGGGGTTTTTGCTTTTTGGTGTGTCTGGCACCAAAACTGGAAAATGCCTCCCTGTAAGCCTCGCCACATCCAATCCACGAACATGCTGTGGAGCGACAATGGGGGTCGCAGAATATCTGTAGCAAAAGTAAAACATAATCAATATTACTTGCTATTATAAAACAAGAAACTTACTTCTCGAGAATCTGTCGAATAAGGTTCAGTTGGAATTTAGCCAGAGGAACCTTTTCTGGATTTATAAGTGAATACATCGCATGGGAATTCAGCATACAAATGTCCATGACATGATAAAATAGCTTTTTGTACCACTTATTGCTTTTACGCATGCATTCTATGCTACTTATCATCATGTCAGACCGGTCAACAGCTCCCATTTTCCCATTATAGTCCACCACACATAATGGCTTCTTGACTGGTTCTCCAGTGACCTTGTCCACTTTGTCAAGATTGACCATTTTATTTTCGTGCATAGTGGTTATCATGGAGACATCTCTTCGATCTTTCCACTTCATCACCAGAATTTTGTCACTGCATCTCCAATCAATATCTCCTTTCTTCAGTTTTGAGTTGAGGACAGGCATGTGTTTCCTGTTTGCTCGAACAGTGCCACTTGAGTTAGTTTCATTTTCATGAAGATAAGTAGAGAGTATCGGACTACTATAATAATTGTCTGTGAAGAGCGAATGTCCTTTGTGTAAGTACGGATCCATCAAAGCGGCGACCACTGACCCAGAAGAACCAAGTCCCTTCACGTCTCTTACCTGAATGTTGGTTTGCTGTCCAATATAAACCACGAAGTCCTGAACTATCCCCGTTTCACAATCACACAGAACATAAAGTTTGATGCCAAAGCGATGTCGTTTGGTCTTTATATATTGTTTGAAACTAAGTCGTCCTTTGAATAGAACCATACTCTCGTCAATGACAAGGTCTTGGAACGGATGGAAGAGATCTGCAAGTCTCTTTTTGATCATTTGTAGCAGCGTCTCTATTTTGTATAGACGGTTGTTAGTTGGCGCATTTTCATTGTCTGCGAAATGCAGACATCTCTTGATTTGTAAATACCTATCCCTGGGCATTTGCTTACCAAATATTGGAGAATTTAGCAACGGATCTTTTGACCAATATTCCTTCATATCAAGTTTTTTATTCCGTGACATTAGCATTGTCAAAGCCAAAAAAATAGACAGCTCAGGCAAGTCTATATCCTTCCATTTTTTCTCATCTTGCTGTCGTGCATACCGGTTGGTTTCAGTAATTATCAGATCAGTTACATCCTCGGTAATAAGATTGAAAAAATAATCAATCTCTTTAGAAGCTTGATTGAGGACGTCTCCCTGTATTCCGCTGTAACTGCTGTTGAATGTATGTAATATAGGTTGGAAATTATTTTTTGTCCATGTAATGTTGATGTCACTGTGATCCGTTTCATTACCACCTGGATTACCTTCTTGGGAATCATCGTCATCTCTAATATCATTAGGTATTTCATTGGCTTCATCCACGATGTCTTCATCTATGATATTTTCCTCGTCAGCTGATTCTTCCGATTCACTTTCCAATTCATATTCACTACCACTGTCCGCAAACGGTTCTTCGAGTTCATTGTCACTGTTTTCATCACTCAGAAGCTGCAGAAGGTGAGCAGCTTCTTTAGGATCTAATCCACAATAATTATTCAACTGTACTTTGCTTCTTTTAGGCCTGGAAGGGCCGGCAATTCCGTCTTCTGCCATCATAACATAACCTATACGCCAGTACTACCCATGATATAGCTAGCAGACGAGTGTCGGATATATCCGACACGACGGGTTCAACCGACACTCGGCGGTACAACATCCATTTTTTGTGTCGGAATAACGCGTCAGTCGTCTGTGGAGCCCAACACTTTTTCTACAGTGTCGGATATAGACGGCACCAGTGCAGAGGCAATGTAGAACCTGGTGTCGGCTATATCCGACTACAGTCTGTCAGACAAATTTACTATTGCCGTATAAAGCCGTCGGCCGTCCTTAAAAGGTTAAGATTTGTCTATAAACATTTTCAAATAAGAAAAAAAATATAGCAACCCGAATTGCTTAGGAAACAGTATCATAAAATTAGTTGATTCTTTTAAATTAATTCACCACATCGACTGCTGTACGGTGGGGGTAATCAACGCTATGAAATAGAATCAATTTTCACAATCAGGTGCGTTGAATGGTATAATTAAACGTGTAACGAAGCAGAATATTGTTAAATATGTGCTAATAGACTCAACTACGGCAAAATTTATTCTGATCACCCCCTAATTATGATTAACCGATATTACATAATTCATTTTTCGTTTTTTTTTCCTTTTTGCAATAATTCGCTAATTGATGTGTTCATAATTTAATTCGTAGATTACCAACGAAATGATGCGAAACTTTGCAATTTACATAATTGAATCATTTAAAAAAAAGTTATAACTTCTAAAAGATAAATTAATGTCGTTTTGCCCTTAAGCCGATTTTTATCCTCATCAGAAAGGCAAAGAAAAGATTAACGCGTAGTTTATCATCTAAAATTCTTTTCATGTTTCGTCATTTATATCTCATTCGCCTTCTACGTAGAACTAAGGGCGGTTCACCTTTAATAACGTATGAAAGTATTAAGAACTCCCTTTGAGTTTTGAAGCATATTTCGTGTAACGTGAAAGATCAAAATGATCGTTACACTCAAGGTTTATAAACTCAAATAAGTTCTACCTCACTTTATTGCTTTAAGGGACGGGAATTGTAACAAAGAGTAGGTAGAAGTTATACGTCCACAAGAATTATTTGCTTATTTATTATCAGTTTATTCATATAATATAAATTTTGATGCTTTTACGTAATTAGCGTAACCATTTGGGGAATGGTGTGAAATGTACGCACCGTGTAAGATATAAACGTAAATTTGCTCACAGATAGAAAAGCCACATTATGTTGCGCTTTTGCATACGTCATATCGCGTGGAAAATACTTTACGTATTCTGTACTTTTTCCCAATCGTATGAATAAAAATGGCACGAGGACGTTAAAAAAAAGCATTGGTATACTCCTGTGATTGCCTGTGCAATCAATTTGAACATTTATTAAATGGACATTAGCCTTTCCAAAAACTTTGCAATACAATATCTTAAAATTGAGAAAAGTACCTAAATGTCTCTTTGTACTTAATGAAGTTCCAGTTTGGCTTATTTATTTGAATTGTACGTGTTATTAATCCGAAGCAAAACAAAAGTTCCCCCCGATTGCCGGGGCCTAGTAATTTGCGCCGAAGCTTTAAGGAAAGGCGCAGTTTCGTACATAACAAGATTATACTTCAGTAAACCTATTACAAACTGTCTAAATGAAATTGTAGACGCGAAAAACGTACCGAGGAGATAATTAAGAGTATAAATAAGAACAAATAATAATTTTCCGTATACGGATAGTCTCATTTATTATTCCATTAAGATACTTTCCTTCCATTTAAATTCCAGTCCCCTTTAGTTTACAATATTAACAACTTCAGTGTACTTTTTATGGTACAGGTGCTTACATTTTCTAATTTCGCTCTCGTTTATAAATTGAAAAAGGATATTTATTCGTCTTTTAGGTGAAATTCCTTCATTAATTTACATAATTTAAACGGAATCGTCTTAATGCCGCTTTCACTTTGTTCAATTCGTTAAAGGGTTTAGTACCTCTAGTTAGGCTACCCTTTGTTGCGTAACAATTGAATTGGGGGCGTCAGTGTCAAATTTAAGAATAATTTTCCTTGAGAAATTAATTTCAGTTCGTCTAAAATGAGTAATCGTTTAAATCGGTTTGTTATGGATATCGGCGCCTTCAGTGCTCGTGTGAGTATTTCATCTTACTTTTTGGCATGGGGAAAATCAAATGTAATTTTATTCTTGGCACTAGCTTGCTGAGCCATTAGTTTCACTCTAAAATATGCGGACCCATGAAAGCCAAATTGCTCTGGGAAAAATTAAGCACAAATTGTTTGTCAATTTATTATATTAATTTGCATAATGCTAGATTCGCATTATTATCTTTTAATGGAACTAATACGATTGCCGTATAGACTACACCTCTTATCGATCGTCAATACACATATCGGTATATCATGCAAAGAGTGAGAGACATCCAAATCAGGGCGAAAATTGTATTTTATTTTTTAACGCCTTTTTTAAGGCAATGATAGGCATAATATTTAAACTGAGGATTAAGGGTGTAATACCTACTTTCATACTCAATTAGTCATCAGTTAAGTAGCACGCACTCGAAAGGGGAAGGGGCATCTCTCGCATCTTCTATAGACCGCTTCTTTGTTATCGACCACCGATTAACGAATCAACCGGTGATTAACTGCAATAAAGTTGTAGTAGAAAATCTTCATAACTACGTATACTTTGTTAGTAATTCAGGCTCGGGTAAATCTCCTGTTGAGTTAATTGTCATGTGTTCAAATGATAAATATCTAATTATGATGTACGGATAATGTTGCTGCAGAATTAGGTGACCTGCGCTGTGTGAGAACCGCAAGC